ATTTCACTAGTCTTAAGCTTTTTATACATAAGCAATGTATGCCAAATACAGCTATACAAGTCTAATACGCTTTTAGATTTGTCAACATCAATGGCATAAAAAGAATTTTGAATCAGCATTTTACGCAGTAGAAAACTCTTGATTCATTCAACAAATAGAGAGCAGTGACAACAATTATTTTTCAATCAACTTTTGAAATAAAATGTTAGGTTTTTCTAATTTCGTATGAAATTATTAAAGTTTGAAAATTATATTTATAAAAAATATGAAAAATACGAGAAAATTTTTCTCATATACAAAATTAAAGAAACGGTTACCAATAAGTGGTCCGAGTTGCATTACACTTTCTACATTTTCGTTATTAACTTTAGTAAAACTCAACGATGCCATCGCTGCATGCAAACGTTCCCTTGCCTGTGCACGACGTCGACACATAACAATCAGGATGAATGATGAAAAACAAAATACAGATGCTAACACAAACAGTGCCAAATAAACCACTACTTCCATTCTAAAATAAGAAAATCAAACAGGTTTAAAGAAAGCACTTTCTTGTGGATTAATTATACTTTTATAGATCTTTATTCTTTATTATAGATTATTAATGTTATGCAGAAAGTAAATATGGCACCTCGCTACCTATTTTTTTGAAAACAAAATTCGATGTCAATGTTATTTATTACTATAATGACGTTTTAAAAAGTGTAAAAATGAGAACAACTATATATATAGACCAAGATAAGAATAGTTAATATTCGGAGTTTTTTAATGTTCAAATAATGTTTTTAATAAATTAAATGTGCATCACTTACCTATTTATTTCATTCAGTATGTTATATTACCAAATGCAGCTGATATCGAGCATCGTATAAAAGAATTAATTCCACTCATATGCATAGAACACTGAAGTGATACTCAAAAATGTGTATACAATCAATTATTTATAGGAAGTTAATCTCCTGTTAATATTCATTAACGTTCATACTTTAACTTCTAAAGAATAATAAAATACTAAGCAACTGGAAGAAATGATAATAAAAATAAAATCAAACTCGCATAATAGTTTCTAATTTTATCAATTTTCGATCGTTTCAAATTGATAAATTATAAAATAAATTTCTACAAATGTTTAAAGACCTGTTTACTGCTGCTTTATAATCAAAAGGTTAATTGAACAAATAGCTTCAAGTAGTCCAATAGTCACTCAAAATTTATCTGCAAAAGATCATAACTAAACGAAAATTGCACGAAAAATTAGTTTAGTTCATGCTTTGAGACGTATAAATAAATGAACTACGACACAATTTCAATAGACTTTCATTGACTGTGATGCATGACAACCTCTAACAAAAAAAAACGAAAAAAAAAAAACAACGCTACTTGTTACAGACAAAGTTTAGGACAAGAAAAAAAAAACAAAAAAAAAAAAAACATAAATGACTGCCATTACCACTGACTACAGCTATTCATCTTTATGAGAAAATCAAAGCAATACTTGAACAAAATTTGTTTAAAATTTTGAAAAATGACATTAGAAAATCCATAAATTAACTACATGTGTAAAAATGAGAGAATAATATCTGTTTGTCTGTTCATACCTAATGTATGTATATGGTATGCGTGTGCATTTGTATGTGTGTGTGTGTGTGTGTGTGTGTATGTGTGTGTATATTTATAGGTACCTTATGCATGTATATCATGTTTTATGCAGTGAAGTATAATCAGCACCTGATCATTTGTCATTCATTGGTGGGTGGGTAGAAGATGGAGGAGAAGGGTAAGTGCGAGCAACTCCATCCTAACTACTACTATGATGATGACGACGAGAGCAACTATCTTTTTTCCATACAACCCTCCCGAACAAATGTGCCATCCGACGATATCAAGGCTACATTTTTCAAGATACGTAAAAAAAAAATACATAATTTTTTTTTTATTTCTCAACAACAATTTCCCTCTGTTTTCTTCCTTCCTCACATTCCATTCCAAGGATATATTTTTTAACTGTTTCGCCTTCTTCATCTATCTACCTGGCAGCAACTGCATTGCTTGGAATAATTCCTGTGCAAAAATTCAATCTCAACATTTCACAGTTAAACTAATCCATTAAATAAAATCAAAGAAGCCATTCAAATTATTGATTCTAATCTATTCACTGAGAGAGGGCTATTGATAAAAATGGGATGAGCTAATGTTGAAAAATAATGATAGTTTAGAAAGTGCATAAATAAATTATTACTTTAAGAGCACCAATGCGATTGAGGCTTTGTAATTCTGAGAGCAAATAATAAAAATTGAAACAAACATAGAGTCCATAAATGTGCTATGACATTTCTTCAGCAATATATCGCTGGATGAGGCTTAAATTACGCATATGGAAGAGATTTTAAACTGGAATCAATCCCTGAAAAAAACCTATTTAAAGGCCAATTCTAAAATAAATTGGTTAGAGCTTTTAGAGCCTAAATTAGCTAACATTAATTCTTCACAGACAACTTAATAGGATAAGATGGTAGATATCCTTCAATTTTTCTATTTAAAATTAGTAGCCCAATATTCTCTTTCTTTTGCATATTTGCATTAACTATCGCAACGCCCAATATAATGCTTATCAAAATACAATTTAGTTTCAATGGCCGTTCATACATATGCAATAAGTATGTTTGATTATCTGAAATTATTTAAGTGTGTATTTCCCGTGTAGAAATCAACTGAAAATTAGAATCAAACTAGTTTTACCTAACAAGAATCATCTGACTTACTGAAATTTGGAGTGATGCTTAAATAGAATCAGAAAAGGCCCCAATTGAGACTTTTGTTTTGCTCATCAGATCCATTTGTTAATTTGTTAAGATCTTATTAGAAAATATCAATCAAAAGAAAAAAAATCACATAATATTAGAGTGCAGTATTTTAGGAAATGAGCAAATTAAAGGACTTGAAGTTTATTAAACATTCAGTTATTTTAGATAGCAGATAATTAAAGAGTCTATGAAAAAGAGAAAAATCAATCTAAATTAAGCTTGCAAAATGGAAAAATGAAATAGCTAACGAGAGTAACCCATGGTAACTGAATTTAATCGCTTGCTGACCCGACATGTATTTTCTACAGAAACAAAGAAATTTTAAAACAAAAGTATATTAAAATAAATATTCTCAGCCTTACCAACAACTAGTTGCAAGAAATATACGATTGGCTTAAATCTTCGAAAAGATAACACTGATGCAATTATTTTTGCCGATTCCAACCATCTTCCTCTTTTCTCCAGTTTCACTCTAAATTCAAACTTACTTCTATCTGAAAATTAAGTTGTATAGTTAATTTTACAAAAAAAAAAAAAAATATAAACAAACAATGTCAATTGTACGATTCCGAATCCTCAAATGAATCCGATTAAGATTTTAATTTTTATTTTACAACACGATAAAACGAAGTCAACTTTCACGAAGATTTTTGCTTGCATAATTAGCACCCTTGTATAATCCGCTCAAAAAATTAACTGATAACTGTCATAAATAATTCCAATCAATGGTCAAAACTTTTCTATGCAAAAAAAAAAAAAGATTCCTTAATCGCTTAGTTTTATTGTCCTTGATCTTTCATTTTACTAAACACTATTTACAGATCCTTTCAAAAATCTGAGTATTTTATCAGAATATTTCATACAGAAATAAAAAGTGGTGGGCCATCTAAAAACATAAATCAAAAAGAAAAAAAAAAGACCAAACTAAAAAAGTGCACTTTTCTTTTCCCCTTATAAGTACACTCAATGATGCAAATAAGGCAAAGTTTTTTCTTCTCCATATCAAAAAAAAAAAAAGAGAGAAAAAAAAAATGTGAAAAAAAATGTAATTTATCCCATAATTTTAAAATAGATTACCAATGCAAATAAAATGATGACAAAATTAAGAAGAGATATTTGCATTAATGATTAAATTTCTTTTAGCATAATTCGCGCGTTATGCTTTTCTCGAATAAGAGGAAAATTAAAATGAGCTTTTTAATTCGATCAACTAAAGTATGCTAACAAAAAAGATTAAATTCGAGAAGATTTCTGAATTGCGATATGGAGCTTTTAAGTTTTTTTTTTTTTTAAGGATGCTGGAGACTCTGCTAACAATCTTTTCCTAAATTATTTTAATCAAATCACTTCGAATGCATGCGTGTGAAATAGATTACAAACTTGAATATTTCTTACATGCACTTCAATAATATATTTATATCGCAAACCAAAGTCTTAACTTATTCAATATCTTTTAATTTTATCTAAGAAAAGAAATTTCTAATTTTTCTTTTCCGAAATTGATTCTAAATTTCGCAGAGACCCAATAAAATGAAGTTTACATAATATTTATAATATGCATTCTTGACCTTTCTGGTGATACGAATTCAAAAATTTAAAGAAAAACCATTCAAAAAAATATGTCGTTAAAAAAATATTCAATAGATAATAAATGCGATGTAGCGCATAAAAATCAGAAATTAAGAATTTTTAACATTGAATGATATAAAAATGTTTATTGATAAAGATAAAATACAATAAAATAATAAAGCAATAAACACCTAATGATAATTACATTGATTGCTTTGAAAATATTTTAGAACGTATAAAAAAAAAAAATTTATTAAAACATCTATATCTCTATGAATATTAAGAATACTAGTACAACAAGATATTATGTGATGAAAAGTGATAATGCAATAAGATACTAAAGAACGAAGAGTATTAATAAAGTAAGGATTGTAAACAAGACAACATACGAGAAACAAGGATAAATAGAAACAGCCAGGATAAAGTTGTTGGTGGTTAATATACTTTTTCTTCGTTCTATATTGACAATTTCCTAAGTGACGATAAATGATGTTCAACACTCATCTCAGCTTGAATATTTCATTGCTAATCTATTATTCGCATTCATCTTAAAAAGAAAAAAAAAATTCACAATGATATAGAAATGAGAGTTTAAAAGCCGCCACTATTGATATCCATATTTCTTCACTAAAACACATAAAAGAAAAACCAATTAAAATAAGCTTCCGGTAGTAAGAATGCATCATGTCGCACATTTTCCAGGAAATGAAGTTGTATAAATATCGTGTCGCATTTCCGTTCATGAACAAACTGTAAAAATTAATTACTTAGTTTGGCTGAGTATTAAGATGAATCAAAATCAACTTACACTTTTATTTTTACGAATCATAATTAAAAATTATTCAATAATATTATTTGCTCCTCTTTTTTCTTCAAACACAAAACTCGATGAATCTATTAGTTATAATCTCAAGCCATTATGGAGCTCTTCAAATATTAGTCGTTTAAAAGAACAGACGAATCAAATCAATGAATAAAAGAACTTTATAAATAAAAGATATTTATATATCACTGAAAGCAAAACTCTAACTAGAAGTTAATCAAGAATTAAACTTTCATTTATAACAGTACGGACTTTTCAAGAAAAATGATTTAGATAACACTGAGGATTCAAAGATTTCTTTAAACAAGTTACTTTTTTTATGAACAGAAAAATGGGAACACTATGAAAACTTGTAAGGCATGAAATACATAAATGTTAAAATCATAGCAGTGGTTTATGAATCAACTGAAACTCTCCTTTGAAAGTATCAACAGTCTCAGCAGTTAATTTCATTTGAAAAGCATTTAATAATAAAAAACTTACGAAATGATATGAAATGATTTAGATAAATGGACCAAAAATATTAATTAGGAGAAAATAGTTTTTTATTTTTTGATTTCAATGTAAAAATAAAAAAGCTCCAAAAGAATTCGATTTGATTAGCTCAGTAAGAAGCAGGAATGGCAAAAATTGAACATTGTAAAGGATTTAAAACAGCTGAAAAACAAAGCAATATACTGGCCAATAAAAATCTTACAATAGCCAAAACAAATAAACAATCAGATATCAAACAACAAATGAATAAAATGTATACTTACTAAGAATAATGAAATAAACTACAGCTATCGGTAGTTCGGTGTGTTGCTGAAACATTGGCGTTACTTTTCTCCTTAGAATCATAAAATATTCATCAAAACCAACTAAAAATACATGGCGCACGTTCTCAATTGAAAATTCCAGGATTTGATAATGCTGACCATTCTTCAAAAACATATACAGCTCACATTTTTCAACCTGAAGCAGCATTATTTAAAAATTAACAATACAAAACTAATAAAATAATTGGGAATTAAAAGAAGCCAAAGCCAGAAGTGGAAAAATCAACTAATTCCTTTTGTTAACTATTATAAATTAATAGAAAAACTTCTCTTATAAAGTTCAAACTATATAAAATCTTACAAATAGTAAGTTAAATGCACTACTCTGATATAAGCAACGTAAGCTCCTTAATCAGAGTTACGATATGCAAGCCAGCAATCATTAAGAGGTGTGAAAACTATGGTATTGAAGAATTCTTTTTTCGTCACAACAGATTTCACTGTTTTGAAAACTTGACCTTCCGATTGCTACGAAACTCAAATTTCTTTTTAAATGTATAACTTTTCCAATAAATTGCACCAAATAATTTAGTTATCGTACAGGATTTCCTACTCAATTATCCAGTCTCGTTGTGCAAGTAAATGAAAGCTTCTTGATACTTGGGAACATAAGACACAGCAACCACATATAGTTTAGCATCTTAAGCCATATCAATTTATATGCATCAATAGCTGATAATTTTTTTCCAAGCAAAGTCAATTTCAAGATAATCTTTTATTATGATTACTCTTAAATTTACTATTACTACTGGATCATTTCACTGTTAATTTCGATAAATATTAAATTAAATTTACTTTAATATGTCTTACCGCCAAATGGATTCGGAGGAAATTCCACCACAGAGTGTTCTACTTCAGTGAATTAAAAACAATGTTTCTGGATTTATTATTGAGAAATAAAAAACTTTACAATAGCTAAAATATTTACAATAAAATTTGTCAAACACTTTATTTACAATTTATCAAAAACTTATTTCCCATTAAAAATATATTGAACAGAAAGTGATTAACATCTGAATTCGTTGGAAACATTATTTTTCTTATTTTCTTAGTTACTATCAAGTTTTTTATTTCGTTGGAAAAAAAATACGGTAGTCATCAAAAATTTCAGACACTCAGAACTGACCAATACTCGCCAGTAATCTAAGACTTGAAGATTAGAATATATTACTACCTTTGATAAAGCCCATTGTTCTTCACAACGATAATCGGAATTTATCGTATTTTTAACACATTTCGCGCCTGCATCTCCTTCATACAATCACTCGATAGCTGTAAATCAGTCGTCCAATTATGATGACTAAGTGACCTCATCAATATGTAACCTCTTTTGAACCCATTCCATAAGATTTCAAAATTAATAATTGATTCTCCTTTTCTTCCTTTTTTCTGTTCAACATAATTAATTTTCAATGCAAAAATTAGATTAAAGTCTTACAGCATAGTTCATTGTCGAAACCATTTCATACCAAATCTCCTTTTTCATATCGTCCATTGCTTGATATGCACAAAATACTTACCAAAAATTGTTTTTTTTTTCAGGTTATCAAATAAATTGGAAGGTAACACTTTAGTCTTCATTATATAATGTATATAGCGAAACACAGACCAAATCCACTTGCGATGTAAACTGCAAATTTTTGCATATTTACTAGAAAGACTATTAACATTCGTACGTGGTAGATGTAAAACACGTGACCCAAAATGACGCAACAAACGAAATGATCCATACATTCATCCACCCTAAGCGGAAAATCCCAGAGTACTGAAATTAAAAATAGCAGAGGGCCGTCAAAGATCGATATGAACCGCGTGAAAAGTTGTTGCCACGAGTTCTGGAGGGTAAGTTTTGACGTTGTTCTGATTGCAGCTTGTCGTATTCATGGGAATGATCGGGAGGGAGCGGGGAAAGGGGGGGAGGGGAGGGGTTTGTTTATCGAGGAATGACTAAAGAAGTACATTTGAGATTTATTTATGATGAGGTGAGAGTTATGTGTGTCTCAGATTTAAGTGATGACTTTTTGTCAGTGACATCTCTTAAGGACGCAATTATAGTAAAAATTTCTTTAGTAACTGTTTGAATATGCAATGAAATGATTGTGAAATTAATAATTTAACTTTTATACTAATAATTATTACTACTTCACTTCATTAATAGTAAAATACCACTGCCTATCAGATTATTCTTAGTCATCATACGAACAAATTTCAATACAGATATATTATATCTCTCTTACTTCATATGTAGGCATATTGAAAAAAAAATTAGAGTTATCAGTTGGTAAACTTCTTTTTTCAGCTTATTAATATTTCATAAATTTTCATAGATAATTTGTTCAATCTAATTTGTGCAATTAACGACATGTGCATATTTATGAATTTTCTGATTAAAAAACACTTGTCTTGGAATATTTGTTTGTGTTTATGTATGTATGTGTATGTGATAGTGGAAAGCTGTTAATGAAAGTAAATGATTCTTAGTGAAGTTATGAAAACAACGAAACTTAGAATATCCAGAAACGTCGGTTTGAAACAACTTGTAAATCATTTTAGGAACTAGCATCTCATTTATTACTATTCTCTTAATTTAAATGATATTATAACTTGGATTTTCTTCATTTTCGTCAATTCCATATCCATTTTTTTTTTTTTTAAATTATGACGAATGAAAGTAAAAAATGTAGGAATAAAAGATTAATTCATTGAAAATAATTGTTAAGGTTTCTAAGCATTATGTAATTGTAAGGTAGTAAGTACATGTTCACAAATGATATGGAACGAAGCAAAAGTGATTAAATTTAGGCTGATTTGTTATCCTAACTTCCGTCTGCATCTTCGTACTTATCTTTCAATTTTTATTTCAATTACTTTCCGTGTTTGAATGGAGGCTGAGCATAGAGTTTATGTTCAAGTAAAATCTCAAGATCGACTTCCTATCCGTACTATCTCAACATGACTTACATTTTGTTCCAGATTCTTTTACTCTATCTCTATCTTTCTTTTTTCATCAGTATGTTTGTTGAAAGTGCAATTTGCTGCTGCTAGTGGGATTGAATGTTCGATCTAAGAAATTATAGATCTTTGGTCAACAGCAGAGATTTGTCCTTTTTTTTTGTTAGTATTTATTAAATAGCTAGGAAGTTGAGAACATGAAATTTGAATTAAATTCCTTTTTAATGGTACTAATTGGAAAATTAGAGAATTTCTTTATATGCTCATTACTCATGTAACAACAATCTAGACTCATTGTAATAATTTTTCCACATCTGTGTACGAATGGTTGTTTATGAGGAACTTGAAACATATTGTGTTACAATATCAGCAATGTTTTTCTGTTCAATATATTTGATGTAGAACATAAAGTATTAAACATCCGTATCACAACATTATTTTGCCATTCCTTCATGGCCACGTCAAAAGGTTCAGCCTTGGAAAAAGTCAAAGTTTTTTTGCATCTCTTTTATTCGTAATTACTTTCTTTCCTCTTTAGTTTATAATGCCGGGCAGTTTGAATTATTGACTCTGTCCTAAATGATATTGTTTATGTTGTATTGCTGTAAAATTTTATTTGAAGCATATGATTTCAAGAGGTCTATGGAACAATTTTTTATCTTTTCGATTTGTGTTTATCGTTAAAATGGTAGAAGTATTAAGAGTTTTAATTACAGCAATGCTTGGTGGTGTTCAGAATTTGGACGAAGCTAAAAAACTGAATGAGGAAAACTTCAATTTCGAGAAGCAACAAGAGGATCTTCTGATGAGTAAGCTTGCAGCAAATGGCAAATTACCGGTAAAACCACAGAGTACTTTTCTTCAGAAGAAATTACAGCAGCAAAGAGTATGTTTTATTTTAAAAACGTTTGGTTTCCAAGAAGTAGAGAGCTGGGATTAGCTTTTTTGGTCTTTTTTAGAGCTTCTAAAATATGCATCTTACTTTCTTTTCTTGTGGTGTTGGTAAGTTTTGTGCTCATTCAGAGGGAAAATGTTCTTGATATAACCAAATATTAGAAAGGTATAACTTGGAGTTAGTATCACAAAACACCTAGATATAGATAGAGGGTTCCGTTTTATTTAGCACTGTGAGATTATTTTTTTCTTTCTATATCCTACCTAATTTTTTTCTTGCAGAAATTCTTTGATTCTGGTGACTATGCAATGAATAAGCAAAAAACAAATACTCCATCAGCAAACTTACCAGTTGCCAATTTACAAAATATTATGCATAGATCAGCTTCAGTTTCTTCATCTGCACAGGTATTTTATATGAAAGTTAATTAACAAAAAAAGAAAAACATCTCAATTTCATCACTTTTAAACATATCGGTGTGCTGAAATTTTTGATATTTGCTGGACTTAAACTTAGCCTACTACTACTACTACTATTTTTTTTTTTTGATGAGAAACAGTTATTTACATATTAATGGTAACCTGTTATAAAGAAATATGCGCAGAAAATAAACTATGTAAAAAAGATTACAAGCTATGACGGTCATCGTGGGCGTATGTCCAAGCCTTCATGTTATGTAAATCAATTCTTTAGTTGTAAAGTTTCTTTTCATCATTTCTTGTTTATGTTTCAGGAAGAAGTAGACGTGCCGCTTAACATTGATGTTTCAACGGCAGTAAGAGATGAATCATTGCAAATTCCTCGCCCAGACACGGTCCCACAGCGTAAATCGTCAATCATTTACCCATCTGTACATAGCAAATTAAGCCCACAGCCATATATTCATCACTCGACGCACGATAGTGACCCTCTCACAGGACCTTAGAAAGTTGTTCATGATATCTCTTACATTGCAAATATTAACACGCCTGCTTCTTTATCTTTTTATCCAGCAGTATTAAGTCTGAGGGAAAGCATTTTTTGTAGGCCTTAGGGAACAACTTTTTGCGAATACCAGTTTAAAGTCTTTCAAAATCTTTTTATTTTGTTAGAGATTATTTAGCAATGATCTCAGATCTCTATACTGTGCAAAATCTCTAGAGATCTCTGAGCTTTGAACAAAATGCAAATAAATTCTTTAAGGGTTCCTTTTCTTTTTGGATATTATCCAAAATTAGTTATAAGCTTCCGCAGAAATTCATTCGGAATTTCGCTTTATGTATTTTATTAATTGCCGGATTTATCATAAAAATTTGAAGCATGCTTATTTGTTGGTTGATGTTTTTGCCCTTCATTCATAGGTTTCTCTTCATTCATGCCATGATTAATTTTTTGTATGAAAAGCATTTAGTTGCAATCTATAGTCAAATAATTTGCTATATGTGAAAATGTAAAAGTCAAGCCAGAATTTATGAGCGAGAGTGAAGCCTTGATCATTAGTGGTTGGTCACGTTTCACAAGAAAAGCATGCGAACAGCTATAAAATTGTTGGATTTCAAAGTGCTTCCTTTGCAAGTTAATAGCAAAGTTTTTGTTTCGCTGTGCAACTTCAAATACCTCATGACATCCTGGAGGAAGCATTGTGAATCATGCATTCTCGTTTGGGTGAGATTCCAATCCATTTTATTTGGAATTTTGTTAAACCCAGTCGCATTCCCTATATTTCTTGCAACTTTATTCTTGTTTCTATGTTACCACGTGCCACTTATTAATGATCGCTGTAAATGTTTTTTTTTTTTTTTTTTTGTATTTCTTAATCATGCACCAAAACAGACTTTGATTTCTGGAATTCTCACTGTTTTATGAAATAAAGAAATCAAAAAGCTGATCGTCTATTGTTAATTGTTAAGGTATCAGTTACATTATGTAATGTTCTAAATGAGGAAATTACGAGTTTCAAGCGGATCATTTCATTTTCAAAAATGTTAATCATAAACTGTTGTGAAGATATTTAGATATTTTAAAAATTGAGCCCTAGTATCAAGACAGTTGATGAATATAATCATATCTGTCCACAGAAGTGGGTAGTCTTCTGCGCTCTTTGTACATTTTAATTTCATTTCGTAACAATTCTTTTATAAAAAATAGAAAGTTGTTTTATTCTCTCGGGATCTTGGCAATTTTAAAAACGTTTCCATTTGAAAGTATAACCCTCGAAAAAGAAATATGAAAGAATAAGTACGGAAGGGAAATTGTAGCAGCCATTCACGATTTCTACTTCATAATTAGTTTCTTTTTCTTTCGGGAGTTACTTTGAAATTAATATTCTTCTTTATCCATGCAAAAGGAGAGACCCAAAGTACTTTTTGTTTTTTTTTTTTTTTTTCCCTTTATTTTGAGGGTAGGGATCGATTTATGCTACTTATTTGAAAATGTCAGTGGATGGTTTTCCTTCTAGGATTTATAACTTTGTTAGTATTTATAAATGATCTACTATGTTGTTTGTTTTAAAAAATTGTATTGTTTCCCAATCTTGAATGACAAATGAAACTTGGAGAGCTTTTATCATCGGAAAGACGAATCGCTATAAACATTTATAAAAAGAAACAATCTATGCTGAGCAGGAAAGACTCTATGTGCTCGCACTAGAACTACCAATTCTCAGAACATGCAAAGAAGCAAGCTTCCAGGCATTGATAATTTCCGTGATACTTCGACAATTTACGGCCATATTTAAGCGCTTATCGAACTGTGTATTGATATCGACCAAGTTAACACCACCGTAGGACCACCGATCACGCCATATGGATGCCTTAGATTCCGGATAGTTCAAAGGTATCACTAATCGCAATGGAGGTACTAGGAGCTGAAAGTTAATAAGGAGATGAAATTGCAATCAAAAACACAGAATTATAAGGGAAAAAATCAAAATATTGCATTGTGAAGATTTTTCAACAGATCAAGCAAAGAGATCATACCACGTTAAATTATCAATGAAATCAAAGATTAGAGATGAAACCTCTAACAGGGACAAACTTACAATATCGTTTTCGATAAACACTTGAATTTCTGTACAGTCATCTGATATTGGAATAAATTCAGGGTCAAATCTAAAATCGTATTTTTATTAAGAGGTCAAATGGTTTTCGACGTTTCATCATCACATTAAATACCTTAATATAAATTATGAAATGGAATAAGAAAAACATATATCATCTGTATTATTAAATAGTCATAAATATGACCTGTAATTGTGTGGCCGAAGTTGATCTGATGCTTCTTGTGATAATTCTAGCCGTGAACCATCTTGGCATATCACCGCTATCCGTTCTAAAATACGACGAAACTACTATAAGTTTATAAACTTAACAATTAGCAATTGGTAGGTCTAATTCAGCAAAGTTTAATGCCAGTAAATTAATATAAATACTGCAAATTATAATTATCAATTAATAAAAATAATATTAAAGGAAACAAACCATCAGAATCTTCTTCTTTTTTAATTCGTTTGACTGGTATTACACCTTTACTTTCCTTACTTTTCGTTTTTTCTTCTTTAACTAAATTCATCACTTTTTCTGGAACTCTGGAATTTCGAAACACATAGAAATATTTCAGTAAATTTCATAGTAAGCTTAAATTTCTAGCAAAAGAATGACAACAAGTAAGACAAAACAAAATAATCAATATTTGTGAGTATGTAAATAATATTGAAATTAATGCAATTGTTACCTTAGTGTGGAAAATAACGATTCTAGCGATTTCTTTTAAAGCTTATATTTTAAATTAAGTCAAATCTCAAATCCAATTAATCGAGATTTTTACACTAAGAAATACATTCAACAGACTTACTTTATTGCGTATTGATGGAAGTCATCCCAAGGATCTGGAAGCGGTGTCTTCGGAGTATCACCACTCTCCAGACGTAAAGCATCTATTAACGGAAAACAAAGTGAATCATGTTCGATTAAATTTCTTACACTAACAACCAGCTTTTCCAGAAGTTTCAACTCTACTTTCCTGCAAAACTCAACTTTTGAACAAAATGGAATAAGTTCGAGAAGAGACAGAACTGATAACGCATATTTGAGAATTTTATTACTAGACTTATAAATTTATTAATTAAATACATTAAAAATTTAATCAAAATGCAAATCTGGAACTTCGAAAATATGATATAATTGGTATTCTGCATGAAATCAATGCAATAAAAGAAATATTAAATCGAAAAATTTACCGACGATTTTCCATTATTTCAAGAAGGCGCTCAAATTTCGACTTCGGTGCCTGTCCATCCAAACTGTAAACAAAAACAGTCTTCAAATTCAGCATGAGCATTGAAATAATACAGTTATTCCAATAATTAATGTTTGACTCAACTTTAATTAAAATTAATTCCTTTATGGCGATAATTCAAATAATTAAAAAACAAGAATAAGTGAAAATTACCGATTTCTTTCAAGCAGTCTTTTGATATGTTCATGATAAGGCTTCAATAACTCTAGTTTCTGACTATAAAGTGGTTCATCTGAGCTTTTATCACCTTTACTACTTATTGTACTGTGTGTCGCAGTTGTATTTTCTGAAATAAGAGAATTAATTAGATTTCATAGGAAATTCTTTTATGCCTAAATTATTTTTTCAAAATTTTTTACAATAAGAAAAGCTTATTACCAGGATGATGTTGTGTGTAAATTGCAGTTGGAACACTGTTTGGGCCTTTATGATGCAAAGAAGAAGATTGTTGCAGAGTGGGTCCTACAGACGATGGCTGTGTAAGAGTAATTTGTTGTTGTGGGTTATAATTTTGGACATTTCCGGGATCCTGTGATTGATACTGTATATTTTGAGGAGCATTCATATTATTTGTCATATAATGACCTGGCATGCGTCTGAAATTTTGTTTAAAATTGCTTCAGTTTACATAAACTTGAGACTAAAATTGCACATTTCACTTTAAAATTCTTTAGTACAATATAAATTAAACTACATAGGTAAAGTAAACGTTTTGAGGTCAAATTCCATTCTTCGCTTCATTATGAATGTTTAACATTTCATGCGTATAAATGCTCTTACAATAAATCTTTTTACCTACCAGTACTTTTCTTAAAACTTACTGCACAGAAACCTGTGCTGGTCCCATTTGTCCCATACCAGTTTGCAACGAAACGTTTTGCGCTGGATATGGTACTGGGCCACTCTGCACAGTCCCCATACGCACCATTTGTGTATTTCCTTTAAGAAATATTAAATTTAGATAAATAAACTTCAAGTTTATTATCCAATGGATTGTTTTTAATTTTCTTCGAGCATTATGAAACTATTTTTATCTTAAGACTTCTAATTAAATTTGTCAACGTAACAAACCTTGAGCCATACCAACTTGCTGATTCAGCCCTACACTAATCATCATTCCACCAGTATTCATCGTGCCTTGACCAGGATATTGTTGCGTTAACTACAAATGCTAAATTTAAACTTTCCAAATACAATTAACAATTGTAAAAACAAAATTAATTTCCTGCAAATTTTTGCAAACTTATCCAAAAAGATGCATCACAATCTGTGTTCAAAATGAATGATGATGGACACACATCATTAATACTTCCACTATACTCTTGAAACATCATTCTGTTAAAACATATGGCGCAACACCGAACTTTTTACCTATCCATTAAATTTATTCAAATACTGGGCAATTTTTATAATCTGATTTCAAAGACTAATTAATAAAGCTAAATCCTCACTCGAACACGTCCTTGTATAAATCCTAGAGCAACTTGTCGTTTTTTTTCAGCACTTGTTTCTGCATTAATTTGTTGTTGAGCCATCTGTTGTACTTCAGGTGGTAGCCGCGACAACGCATCGCTCATTGTCCTAAAAAAGACTACATTCTGTAACTTTTGATTAGAACATTCTGTGACTTTCAGATCTGTCAATTTTGAAGAAATTTCCAAGTTCGACACAAGGAAATTGATATAAAAAATGAAATACTAAAATGAGTAAACTGCACAAGTAGAAGAATAATTTCTTAAAATATAAGTAAGTAACATACATAAGCCTTGGCTGCATTTGTGGATTTTGTACATACTGTCCGGATGCGATCTGTACTGGTTGCTGACCGGGTTGCATCATTGCCATGCCATATCTGGAAATTTAAAGAGTTCATTTGTGAGACTAAATTAACTTCCCAGAATACTTGAGATTTTTGCAAATTACAAAAACATTCACTAACTTGCTTAAATTTCATCGATTTTTGTTCAGTGAATTAGAAACTATCCTATATGATCCAATCTATCTCAATGTCACCTCAAATGACAAGGCAATCGGAAATTTCGGAAATTTTAAGAGTGTAAAGAAGACAGTGCAATATGCCAGGTGACTAGTATAAAATGATCCCAAATCTCTGATAATTATGTAAAGCCATAAAAATAAGACAAATAATTTGATGGTAAACAATCTCAAGTTTAAGCAAAGTTTTGTAGAAAAAGAAGAAAACAATAACAGTGAAAAAAATTAATAATACTTACCTCTGTTGCCTATGCAAATGTTGCGGTGTCACAGTTGTCGGTACAGAAATCTATAAAACATACAAATTTTGTCTTAATATTATTCCTTTCACTACCGTTCATTTGATAATTGAATGATCTGAATCAAAATAAATAATTTGATGAATGATACAATGAAGTAAACCGTTACTACCGACTAACAAGGAAGAACAAATAAGTAAGTATAAAAGTAAAACTATTAATTTAAGATAATTACTGATAAAAGCAATACAACTTTATCAATTAATTAAATCCAATAAACAAATATTGGATTTCATCCTCTCTTATTTACTATTTGCTATTTAGCCCAAGGCAAGATTAACGTGTAAGACTTGAAAAATAAAAGAAGAAAAAAATAAGCTAACCATTCGAGGATTTTGCATCCGTTGTCCTTGTTGCATTATAAACTGTTGTTGATCGACGTAATTCATAGCTAAAATTCGTTCCCTTTTTTATAGAAATTATTTGAGTAAAATACAAAAAAAAAAAAAAAAAAAAAAGAAACTAAAACACTACGACAAATTACAATGCAAAAAATATACATTTTAATTTAACATAAAATGTCAGCTAAGAATTAGGAATTCAAACTAATTTTGACTAATAAATTTAATCATTGGCAACTCATACTTGAACCAATGTCACTTTGAAGCAATTCCTCTTCCGCCTAAGCAAGATGACACGACCTCTTGCGCCAGGACAAGATGGCACAGTTTATGGTTAATGTTAAATAGCTATTATTAGAATTAGATGGAAAATTTCTATGAACTCTATGTGATTGCATTTTTGAGAGTTTTATGCAAATGTTTATCGATGTTTCTTTCAATTTGCATATAATATATATAAATATTGGAGTATTTCATCTTCTTCTTTCATAATTCTTTATTCGGTATCTCAATAAATATTTAATGCTTTTGCATGCAAAATTCTATGAATGCATAACAAAACTTAGAAAATATCAAGGTGTAATAGAAGTTGGAAATAGAATTAAAATTTTTAACAAAAATAATAAATATAATTGCAGGTGAAAGAAAAGAAAAAGAAACAAAGAGATGATACGAAAGCAATCAGATTGTGATACTTTTCAAAAGGTAATAGTTTTGTCCTAAAAGAATAATAGATTTATCTTGAAGAAGTAATAATTTATCGAATAGATTTTTTTTTTATTTTCAAGAATAAAAATTATTTTCAATATCAATTAATTGTCATAGTTGCACATAATGGACTTCTTTTTATCAAACTCAAAAAAAGAAAAACAAGTAGAAATGGGCAAAAAAAATGTTGATCAATCATTAAATTTAATTGAACGAATTTTTTATTGAAAAATTTTTTATGAAAGGAATGATAATGTATTTGCTTTATTATATCTATAATATTATTTTGATTCTTCGGAAACCTAAAATTGATTTGTTAGAAAATCTATTCGATACTTTAATAACTAGCTATCTTTGAAATTTTTTAAGTGCACAAAATGATGGAAAACGATTATTTCTGTTTGATACGTTTAATGTAGTATTGAAAGTATTGTTTAATTATAGTTGGATGCATCAAACATCCGTAATGTGTGTATAATTGCTCACGTAGATCACGGTAAAACGTGTCTTGCTGATTGTCTTATCTCATCGAATGGATTAATTTCGACTAGAATGGCTGGTAAATTACGTTATATGGATAGTCGCGAGGTAGTTTTTGGTACCATTTTTAGGTTTTTTTTATAAAAAATAAAATAACATTCAGTCTTTATCCTTTTAATGAGTTAATGAGTTATAGAGGTTGTAATTTTGTAAAATACGATTTTTGGAATGAAAATTTGAGCTAGGTTTTGAAATATATTTTTTTTTGGAATGAAAATTTGAGCTTTTTGGAATACGATTTTTAGAATGAAAATTTGAGCTAGGTTTTGAAAAAATCAATATGATAATATCATAAAGCGGCCTATGAATGGATTCTTTTTAACATCTTATAAGCATTCAGGATGAGCAAATTCGTGGCATAACGATGAAAGCTTCAGCAATTGCTCTAGTATACGAGAACAATATCATAAATTTGATTGACAGTCCTGGTCATGTTGATTTTTCTGATGAAGTTTCCTCAGTATTGCTGTTGTCAGATATAGCCTTTTTGGTGATCGATGTGGTTTGTTGGACATTTTATTCTTAAATTTAAAATTTTTTATGAATGAAAATTTTTCTTGTTTTTGATAGTGGATGTGAGGATTCATGACACTGAATGTTTTGCACTCAAATAAAAATAAGAAGACAAAAACATTTCCATAATGCCAAAGTAAGCATATGTTGTTTGTTTTCCGTCGGTTATCAGTTAAAGTTTAGTGAGCCCTTTAATATGAGTGTCTCATTGATTCGAGTGCTGTTTCTTCAAATAATTAAATTACTGATTAAAAAACTGAATTTGCTTTCATTTTTTGATTTTTGCTGCAGTATTTAAAAAACTTTTCTTTCATACTTCCAGTTCTGTAATTCGCTTCTGTTTAGGTTGAAGGACTTTGCTCACAAACTGAATTTCTCCTTCGGCAAGCAATTCAGCTAAATTTAGAAATAATTCTTGTTTTCAACAAAATTGATCGATTAGCTATAGAAATGAAACAAACTCCTGCTGAAGCTTTTGCTCATATACGGCGTTTGCTGGAACAAGTAAGCTTTGTGAGATTGATTTTTGTCAAGATAATGAAATTTAGGTATAGCAGAAACTTTTGAATCAGAAATTAATGACTTCGATTTACGCTTATGTTTCATTCGAACCTGTTCTTTTGGAATTTCTTCGAAGATGAACAGAAACTAAGAACAGATATAAACCATTTTCAGGTTAATAGTTGTATCAGTCAGATTATTTCGGGTGTTCTAGTTGAGCAGGAAGATTGGCATAGTGTTGAACGTGCTGAAAAGGGCTTGTATTTTTCACCAGAAAATGAAAATGTTATTTTTGCTTCAGCTTTGCATGGTTTGTTGTATGCGTTGTCATATGCTTCAGTTTTTTACTCAAACTGGGTTTGAAAAAATGATCCAATATTTCAATTTCGTGGGAACTGCATGTTGCTTTAACTTTTTTTTTGGTATTTTTTCTAGGTTACGGATTTTCCTTGTTGGATTTCTCCCAGATTTGGTCCAAGAAAATTAGTATACCAGAGAAGGATATATTATCAAAACTCTTTACGGATTCGTATTTTTCAAAAGGCGTGATCAAAGAAGGAGCAGAATGTCTAGGAAAGAAAACTTTATTTGAGCAGTTCATCTTGCAACCATTATGGGATGTTCATAAATCTGGCCTTGTAGATGTAGATTTGGAGAAATTGAAGGTTTTTATAACTCAGTTTTCTTTTGATGAACATTATGTGATTTGATATTACAAAAGTAACATTTAATGCGAACGTCAGATTCAGCAGTTTTTCACATAATTTTCAGGCATTTGCTGATAAAATGAATGTCAAAATTCGAAGCAGACGTACAATGGAAGCGTTCGATGAATTTATGCGCGGTTGGCTTCCTCTGACGAAAGCTTGTTTCCGAGCTGCCATCGGCTCGTCACCTTCATCTCAATCCTTCACACATCCTCGCCGCCTAGCGTCGTTGTCTTTGGATGAAAATCATTCTCTTTATGAAACCGTTAGAGCATGTGACAGTTCAGCTACTACTGTCGTTTTTGTTGCTAAAATATTGCAATATGGTGAAACTGTATTAGTAATGTGCCGTGTGCTTTCTGGAAGTATTCGGAAAGATGACCAACTATTTTTGATTAATAATAAACATTCAAATGGAACTGTCCTCGAAAGGTACTCATTTCATCTTATATTTTGTGTTTTTTGTATGGAATGAAATACTGTTGTAATTTTACTGACTTCAATTCTGAATTCATTATTTTAACAAATTCCACCATAAGTATGTTTTTCTGGACTTTACTCTTTACTCTCCAATGATTTATCTTAGGTAGTCTTTTTTTTTTTTTTTTTTTAATTATAAAAAATGATGTTTGTTCGAGTATCTTTCAATTTCTCTATGTTTTCAGCTTTTCTCAAGTTATTCATTTCCGAAGTTTCAGGCCATTGGTAACCATTTGCGGAGTTTATTTACTTATGGGCCGTGAAAAAATTGCGGTGGATTGTGTCGTCGCAGGTGCAGTATGTGCAATCGAATTTTCGAGTGAAATGTTAGCAACAACTCTCTGTAGCGAAGCAGTTTCGGAGGGACTAATTCGTGTTACTCATGGTGCAAAACCGTTGGTCCGTGTGTCGGTACAACCGGAAGGTGGCCTAGATGAACTTAAAAGTTTACGAACTGCTCTAAAGCAACTTAGCGTTTTAGATTCAAATATTCGAGTTGTCGAGCAAGAAAATGGTGAATTAGCCATGTTTGCTGCAGGTATTATTTGTCCTGAATTCATTCTTTTTTTTCATTTTTTTCAATATATTTCCTCATTAATTTTCTGATTACTGGTAATTAACGATATCTGTTTGCTATTTTAATCATTTTTATGCGAAAGCTTTTACACTTGAAACTTTTTTTGTTAGTAGTTCCTTTATTCGTAGGTCCTTTATTGCTATTATTCTATCTCTTCCACACATTTTTAGGCGAAGTTCATCTTCAGAAATGCCTTACTGATTTGTATAATATGGGGCAGAGCAATATAAAAGTGTCGGAACCCTCAGTACCTTTCTTCGAAACTATAATTTCTATACCTGGATTACCTAACAATTCAATGCAACCTGTTGTAAGCATATGCTCTTGTCTTTATTACGAAATGACGGAAATTCTGTAAAATATTCGAACTTCAGTTTTTAGTATCTAATCTCTAATTTTCATCTGTAATGTATTCATAATTGTTTTAATTTATTTCTTCGTTTTTTAAACACACCTTCTAATTTTCTAATTCCTATCATTAACTTTACACATGAGTAGTGATATGTGGAATAGAGACGGGTTGATTTGTTCAATTGATATTAAATGTTTTATCCCTTTAGGTTTATTTTTAGGATTGCAACGTTCGCAGCGGTGCAGCCAAAATAAAATTGCGTGCAGCACCATTGCCGCGAGAACTTCTTGAAGTTTTGGAGAAAAATGAGGACATCTTACGTGATTTACGAGAAGGGAAATTTACCTCAGCGATAGAGGATTTACATAAAATTTTGCTGAATGATTGTGTGAATTGGCTGAAGGATTTAAAAGGAAGTTTTTGGTCAAAACAGCGAACCGAGCAACTTAGGTATATGCTTTGAAATATACGAATTATTAATTTATTTTCATATATGTAGAGATAGGTGGATAAATAGATTAGATAAACAGGAGAGAATTTCTTTGCAAGGTTAATGGAGTATCTCTTTAAAACTAAGTTAGCTGTTCTTCGTGCACTAAAACAAGAATATCTTTATCTGTCAAATTGTTTATTTAACTTGACAGCTGCGCTTTTGTCAATTAAGATCGCACGTTTATTTATGATTGATTTAACAAAACTCCAGTTAGTTCTACTCCTTTTTTTAAAAAATTCAATTAAAATTTCATTTTTCATTTTTTAATCTTTTCTAGACATTTCATCGATAGGATATGGGCATTTGGACCACCTAGAGCTAGATTTAACATATTGTTCAATGCAACGGAAGATTATGATAGGCCATCAATATGGGAAAGTATGTTTTTCTCAGTTTCACAAATTTTTCTCGACTATTCTAATTTTTTAAAATCATTCCACTCCTATTTTCATTGCAGCTTATTTGCAAAGGGGTTGCAAGGTTGTTGAATTGATTAGGGAAGTTCTTTTTTTTTCTCTCTCTCTCTCCTTTCTCTTGGTTTGTTCTCCTTTGCGTGTAATTCTAAGTAGAGCTAATTGGATAAATAATTTTCTTTTTTTTTTTTTAATGCCATATTTCTCTTCCAGAAGGTACTTCCAAGTTACGATGTTTTGATCAATCGATAATAGCGGGTTTTGATTTAGCGGTAGGAGCTGGTCCCCTATGTGAAGAACCAATGTGGGGTACTGCTATTGTTGTTGATGAATGGACTGTAAATGAAGTTGATGATCCAACAATGGCTGGAGCCTTGATATCCGGGATGAAGCAGGCATGCAGGTCAGTTTCTTTTTTTGTGTAAGTATAAACTTGGAACATTTTAACTAAAGAAGTTGGTAGAAGTGAATTTGGATTGTTTAAAAAAAAAACACCTAACTTTCAATGACTTATATGATACAGAAAAGTAAATAACGATCGATAGAACTACTTCTAACCATTATGTGTTTTCTTACTAATTTGAAAGTAATTTTTCTAGGTCATTTCTTTTTCCAAAATTTTATTTCCTAATTTATATGATCTCTTTCATTTTCATTTAATAATTTATCATTTCAGAGAAGCACAAAAAAAGCATCCACTTCGACTTATGGCTGCGATGTACAAATGTGTTGTACAAACAAATGCTCAAGCGTTAGGCAAAGTGCATACAGTTCTTTCACAAAGGCGAGCAAAGGTTTGTTTTGAAGGATAATAATGTTAACTTTTCATGAAGTAATTTTTTGAAATCTTATTGAAATTGAATTTTACAATTCTGAGTAATTATCTCGTCTTTAAGATATTAAATGAGGATATGAACCAAGCGAATGGGTTATTTGTTGTTGAGGCACATTTACCAGTTATTGAAAGTTTTTCGTTTTGCGAACAACTAAGGAAAAAAACAAGTGGTCTTTCATCGGGTCAGTTGGAATTTTCACACTGGGAAATAATCGATGAAGATCCGTTTTGGGAACCTACTACCGAGGATGAGGTTAAAAACTTTTTGAGATTTAATAAATTTTTGAATTTCAACATATTGCTTGACAAAATATAGCAAAAGTCCATTTCGAGGTTAAATTAAATTCTTTAATAAAATAAAGAACTTAAAATTTTGATGATCGAGTTAAATGTTTAAATTTCAAATCAAATATCTGATTAATTTACTTTTAGGTTGAATTGTATGGTGTCAAAGGTGATGCTATAAACCGAGCTCGTGTTTACATGGATGCAGTAAGGAAGCGAAAGGGTTTATTAACTGATGAACTAATTGTAATTAACGCCGAAAAACAACGCACCTTGAAAAGAAATCGTTGAATGTTACATTACTTTTTTAGAAATAAGAAATATCAATAAATATAAGTGTAATGATTACGCAAGTTTATTTTCAGATTAAATTGTACGATGTCAACGATTCTTTTTAAAATTATTTGTTTTGTACAAAAATCTTTTCTAATAAATTTTCGAAATTAAATATTGCTTATATTTGTCATATGATACTGCGATTCCTTTTTTTAATCCCTAATAATGCAGAAGTACTGACATCAAATATTTCTTATAAAATACTGTTAAAATACACTTTTAGGCAATGATATATTCAATCATTTCGATTATTATATACCATATTGATTGTTCTCATTCTGTCTGTTAAAAAAAGTTGAAAATTTTTGAAATTGCAATGAAGGAAGAAGTCTAATTTTATTTCTTACTATAATAAAATATGCAAAAACATTGAAATATTTCAACGTTTGCGGAATGATCGGACCAGATTATTTCGTACGTTGCGTATTGTTTTAGTTGCATTCCCACTTGAAAAGTACTTTAGAAACAAGGGAAAGTGTGATATTTCAATTGCAAGAAGTTTTGGTAAATGAAGAGCTGAAAGGTGTAAAATGTCTACTGAATTCACATATTTGTTTTGGTTCAGTGGGATTACTACTTTTCAAATTTTCCTATTTTAAATCCTCTTTTAAACTTTAAAAAAATCTTAGCTTTCAGAATTTAAATAAATGGATAAAACTAATAATTCTCGAGATTTCTCCTTTGACTGGAGTGAAGACGAGGAAAACTAATTCGAGAATGAATTAGTGACTGATCATGAATGGGTCATTATTATTTGATTGATTTAATCATTCTGTTTCTCGTTTTCTAGCGATAATATTATGAGTTTGATAGCTTTCAACATTAGCTTTAAAGGTTAATAAAATTTTTATCAGGAAAGATACTGAATTGAAATCCAGTTGAAATCGAAAATTCCACATCTTTTAGAGTTTTAAATTATGCTGAAAAAAAAAAAAACAAAGACAAAAATCATTGAAAAAACTAATTTACCTTCTTTTGTTGCATATCATTCATCTCTCTCTCTCTCCCTCCCTGTCTCCCTCTCTCTCAGTAACAATTGAATTTATATCATTTAAATCATAACTAATGAAAATGTTCAAAAATTTGAGTTTATAGAATCCAAAATTTTTCCATTCCTTAATTTCTGATAAAAAATATTCGATGAAATAATTCTGAAATGGATAATATGCCTTATCATTGTTATTTTTCCTGCAGTAGCTGAAATTGAAGTAAATATTAAAAATAATTTTAGCTAAATTTTCTTATGTAAACAATTTTGTTAATATTATTGCAATATTTTATTTCATTCATGTACAATTAATGACAAAATAATAGGAAAAAAGAAGTTAAAAAAACATTAATTTGATATATGGAAAATTCTAGCTGAGAGTAAATTTGAATTTAAATAATTTGTAAAATGTAACTGATTGAAAAAACTAAATTCAAATATAGTTTTGCAGATAGTTTCATAATGCAATGGGAAATTAATTAGTTTAGAAATTGATATATTTTTATGAATCAATAAAATATCTTTTTTTTAAAAATTCTAATTGCTGAACCTTTTGTTTACTTTTGTTGTTTACTCTCTATTTTTGATAGATGACAATCTCATACACATATGAATATATCAATTTCTAAACTACCCGAATAAATGGCACTGCAAATATTTTTTGTATATGTATATTTATACAAATTAAAGCTATTAAATGGCTAAAAAAAATTTCAAATTTTAAAATTCATCTTTAAATTTTTGAACCTCTTTTATCATTTTAGCTGTTTTGTTGTATGAAATAGATAGAGTTTAACTAATATATGTTACACATATTATAAGTAAATTAAAATTTCTTTAATTTATCATACTTTCAAAAAAAAAAAAAAAAAAGAAAAGAAAATTGACAAATTTTTTAGAAAGATATTAATACAATCTAAAAATCATTCATTAATTTTTATAATAAACAACAATTTTGAGAATTATTTTTACATAATCAATTAAATGTACAAATGAAGTAAAAATCAAATTTTTATACAAAATGTACAAAATTATTTAAAATTTAAAAGAAAAAAAAAATTAATAAACATAAAATCTTTTAAACATTTTTACATTATTCATTAAAAAATATTTGTAATAATACAAAAAAAAAAAAAAAAGTGTAAGTTGTTAATTTTTATTAAATAAAATATTTTAATAAATTTTAAAGTCAATTTTATATTATTGATTAAAATTTTGATATTTATTATATTATAAAAAAAAATTTTAATATTAAGTTGGATTAAATGCATGTAATGTTGTAATTGTTGAAATGTGCGCTTTACGTTTGTAATTTTTCTTTCGTTGCCAACAAATATAAGCAGTAATTAAGATTATATTAAAACCAATGCAAAACACTGATGCAACAATGATAAGACCAATTACCCAAATTGGAGTTAACTTACCCGTGAATATATTAGCTTTCAATAATGGTATATCTGTTGCTTCGATATCATCAACAGTGAAATTCTGAAAATCAAATTTATTTCGTTGTTTATTTTATATTGTTTACTTCCTGAAATACTCATTCAAATGCTTCCATTTTAAATTAGCATACTGATAAATTATACTAAGTTAATTCGTTTCAGCTAAATTTATTTGTTCATTTGAATGCTTATTTGCTCAACAACTTATTGTTTTATTGTTTGCATTACAATAAATGCTATATTGTATGATAGAAATTGAATTTTCTTTCATTTCATTAATGATTTCTAATGTAAAGCTTTTTAAATTATATAAATAATTAGGAAGAAATAAATCTAATAAAAAAAAAAAATTTGCATCAAATGGTAACAAATTATTTTGATGATTTGAAAATTTTCCAATTTTAAATTTAAAAAATCAATGAATATAGAAAAAGGTATCACTTTATCAAACTGTACTAACACATCAAAATCAGATGTATCAGAAAAAAAATTTTTTTAATTCTATTTGTTGTGCTTCTTTTTTTTTTTTTTTTTATCAATTAATTGATACAATTTAAAATATTTGATAGATATCTTGAAATCTTTCAATGATTTCTTAATTTATCTTTTTTTTAAATTAATGAAAGATAAATATTTTTGTCTTCCATTAATTTATAATTTGCCCTAATATTTGCAAACTATTACATTTTATCTTTCAAGTTAATCATGAATATTTTAGTTTACCTTAGCAAGGTAAGCATAAAAGGTAAACAAGAAATGAAGTTAAAAGAAGCTCAATTCATTTTAGTAAAATTTCAAAGTATTTCTGCAAATAATGGAGTATTTCGTTAATTGATGAAAACTTTATAAAGATCCATTAAGGATGGATGCATCACATCTTCTCTTATTATTCTTTGCTTCATCTTTCTGTAAATATCAAAGGTTCTTTCCAGTCAATCACCTCTTAAAATCAACTAAATTTAATTGCATCTATCTATCTCTTAGACTATTGCAACAATAATTACTACTACTACTACTACTACCACTACTTCAGGTTAATTCTACCGCCTTTTATTAGGGGATAATTACAGGTGTAATTTTATGCAAATTTATGCCACTCAATATAAATAATATACTGATACTTTCACGTCAAGCAACTGATCTTCTGCTTTTCCTCTCTTTTATCTGACCATTTAAGATGTTCGATGATATATGTATAATTACAATAATCATTATAGTGATATAGATCACGATTACGATAATAGTAATAATAATAATGATGATAGTGACAAGGATATAATAATGATATTCAGAATAATAATAATTATTATTATCAGAATTATTATTATTATTATTATTATTATTATTATTATTATTATTATTATTATTATTATCATTATTATCATTATTATTATTATTATATTCAGAATTTTCATTCATTCGTAATTTTTAAAACTAACAAAAAGTTTAATGTAAATTATTTTGCTTTTATACATATGCAATTAAAATTAGCAAAATATTAATAAAGAGTACTACAAATGAATAAGCAAAGAAATTGCACAAATAATAAATTAAACTTTTTTCAAATTATGAATTATTAACTTACCTGTATAGCTCGGGTAATCTTAACTGAAACACCTTCGGATAGCTCAGCACCAGCGATGTCAAACTGACATTCGCTATAACATTTAATTAATAAACAATTTTCTTGCTCCATTTTCTTCTCAACAACTCCAATAAATGTTACTCCTTGACAGTCTGAAATAATTAAAATATTTTTGTTTTCAACTCAATGATAAATGAAATTAATTAAATTCCTATTAATTATTTTTGAAATTAATTAAGTTTTTATATTTCTGAATAAAACAATAAATGAAATTTAGTTAATTCATTTCGTTTTTTTTTTTTCACAATGGTAAAGATTATTTCAAGATTTTTGTTATATAGAATGTGATATGCCCTCTCGTGTAAGTGATATGTTATCAAATATGATAATTTTGTTATCAATCAGTCAACTGCTTAATCATTTTTATTTCAGTGATAGTAACATTAACAGCAGTTAGAAATATTATCAGGTTCAATTTGTGTAAAATGAGTCAAAAAAAAAAAAAACAAATGAAATGGAAATTATAAAACAAATAATGAAATTATTCTTAATATAATACTTACTAAACTATTACTAAATTATTATTATCGCATCCATCAGATGATTTTCTCAAAAATTAAAAATTAAATTAGAATTTATATTTTTTAACGATGTTCTGGTATACACTGAACTTTAACCTATATCAGTTTCACTAACTATTATTGAAATAAATTCGAACTACATTATTAGATATTTTATTCTAATGCATGTTTATAACTCTTTTTTATTCTATCTAAATTAGTTGTATCAGAAAAAAAATACAATTTTTTTTTTTTCAAAATTAATTCATGCATTAATAATCATTGTGAACGGATATCATCCGCTGGAATTTTTTAATTCTATTCATAACAAATAATTAAAAATAAACGCGTTTTTAATTATTAGACGAGATTTTTGC